TTATAGGGTCCCGCTCGGCGGGCACCCTATAGTGATCAGTCTGTCCGTCCGTCTGTCCGTTCGAGATCTCTTGTCCGGAGAAGATCTTCTCTCTCCTTGGCCCAATCTGGCTAATACTTCACCCACAGGGTGCTTTTGCGTAACCAGTATGCAGTGACCATGAACCATACTTCTATGTCAAGCTCATAAAAGAATTAAATGAAAAATCCTTGCCCGGATCATATCTTTCCCATTTGCCCAATCTGGCTCATACTTCACCCACAGAGTGCCTTTTAGATAAAGGGTGTGCAGTGACCTTGAGCAAAGTTTCAAGGTCAAGTGTCTAGGTCAAAATAGCTTTTCTGTTTAAATTCTTGTCAGGAGAATTTTTTCACTTTTCTTGGCCTAATCTGGCCCATACTTCACAAACAGAGTGCCTTTGGGTGAAGGATATGCAGTGACCTTGGACCAGGTTTCTATGTGAAAGGTTAAGGTCATAGCAAAATTAAATGAAAAATCCTTGTTCGGAGCATATCTTCTCTCCCCTTGGTCCAATTAGGCTCATACTTCACTCACAGAGTGCCTTTGGGTGAAGGGTGTGCAGTGAATTTGAACCATGTTTCTAGGTCAAAGACCATAGCAGATTTATGTAAAAATCCTTGTTCGGAGCATATTTTCTCTCCTATTAGTCGAATGTTGCTCATACTTCACTCACAGAGTGCCTTTGGTCAGTAAATATGCAGTGACCTTGAACAAAGTTTCTAGGTCAAGGGTCAAGGTCAAAAATAGCCTCTCTTTTTAAAGTCTTTGTTCACTGCATAATTTCTTTCCCTTAAGTCCACTCAGCCTCAAACAAATTGACTAGATATTGAACATTTGTGATTTTCCTTCCATATTATGATAGAGGATATGAAACAATTTTCATAGAGGATAATTTTCTAAAAGTTTTTTAAATTGTATTATTTTTCAGGGTGTATTACTTTTTGTCCCCTTTAATCTCAAACACCTTCAAAATAAACCCTTTTCAGCTACGTTACATTTTCATGTTCATTGCTAAAAGCGGGCCCCTTTGAGATTGTCTCCATCTCAATGATGTCTAGTCTTATTAATATTATCGCAAATGTACTAGTTTTGTCATTATAAGTGCTACTTACAGTTGGATCAAAAAAATCCGAAATCTTCGTATATAATGATTATTTCTAAGCTTATATATGTACAAAGAACCGGGGAAAAGATCTCGACAAAAATTCTCCTGATGCCCACTATACACAACAGGCAATGTCCATTTAAAGGGGTTGACTGTGATGAACTAATACATTTTTGTACATACTCTTTCGGAAAACCTCGCATTTTTTTTAATATTTAAGAAAATTTCAAAGTTATCCAAAAAAAAGTCATAAATAGTATAATGCAGATCAGTTAAACTGCATTTTTTCCTTTAAATTTATTCATTGGTTTTATTTATACATTCTACGTGCTGTGTTACCGATATTTCCATCGTGCACTTTGTATCTGGTTGTCCATCAAGTTCGTGGATATAATGACTTTTTTTATCAGAATGATCCCAGTCCTAGACATACATTTTGCTAAACCAAAATACTTATTAAAATCTAATTAAGAATGGTTTGATTTTGATTGTTTGAACTTAATATTCTTAAATAAAAATCGCAGTCTTAAAAGAACTGAGATAGTGCATATAAGGCCCAGACTTAAAATGCCGTGCACTTGAAAAGAAATTGTACTGTTTAATGTTTTGGAGCAGGTTAACATTTTTGGTGCAGTTTCTGGTGTAGGTCTCATTTCCGAGTAACTATAAGCCCTATGTTGACCAAACTTGCATGGATGGTACATCTTAGGATGCACACTACCAGGCTTGCTTCGGATGCTAAATCTGACCTACATTTTCCGCATGAGTGAACAGGTTTATGTTTTCGGTGCAGCTCTCATATCCGAGTAACTATGAGCACTATAATGACCAAACTTGCATGGATGATACATCTAAGGATTCAAACTATGAGACTTGCTTCGGATGCTGAATCTGACCTACATTTTCCGGTTGAATGAACAGGTTAAATTTTTTCGGTGCAGGTTTCATTTAAAGATACTATGAGCCATATAATGACCAAACTTGCACGGATGGTATATCTTAGGATGCACACTACCAGACTTGCTTTGGATGATGAATCTGACCTAGATTTTCTAGACGAGTGAACAGGTTATTGGTGCAGGATTCATTTCCAAGTAACTTTACGCCCTATAATGACCAAACTTGCACGGATGGTCATTTAAGGGTGCATTCTAATAGGCTGGCTTCGGATGCTGAATCTGACGTACATTTTCTGGGTTAGTGGAAAGGTTAGTTTTTTATACAGGTTCCATTAAACCATTTCCAAGTAACGTTGAGCTCTATGTTGAGCAAACTTGCATGGATGATACATCTTAGGATGCACATTAATGCACTTGCTTCTGATGCTGAATTCGACATTAATTTTCCAGATAAGTTTATTTTACAGTTGCCTTAATCCATCTGTAAAGCAACTGTTTTACCTCGTTTATTAACTCAGTTAAGTCTATGGTCATTAGAATGGCCCTATTTGCAAATATATCCTATCACTGGACCAAATGTTGGCAGACTTAACTCTATTGTTAACATTTATTTTTGAACTAAATTTGACTTAGAATGTTTAGACTACTTGATCAAAACATGTACAAAGTACTCATGGCAGGTGTGACGGTCAACAGCCTGCGGGGCATCTACAAAGTACTCACGGCAGGTGTGACCGGTCAATAGCCTGCGGGGCATCTACAAAGTACTCACGGCAGGTGTGACGGTCAACAGCCTGCGGGGCATCTACAAAGTACTCACGGCAGGTGTGACCGGTCAATAGCCCGCGGGGCATCTACAAAGTACTCACGGCAGGTGTGACGGTCAACAGCCTGCGGGGCATCTACAAAGTACTCACGGCAGGTGTGACGGTCAACAGCCTGCGGGGCATGCCTTCTTCTCACAGGCACCTGATCCCACTCTGAAATTTCCAGGGGTCCGTGTTGTTCACAGATGTGTTTCAAGATTTTATGAGATCGATTACTATGCCTTAGTCCTTCTGTAAACCATTTGTTTGTTTGTCTTCTCCCAACCAACTGGATACAGATGGCCCAATTCATTTTTCTCCTTTTTCTGAAATTTCTCATCCCTTCAAAAGGTATACTAGTTTTGAAATTTTCATGGAGAAATTTTATTTCCCCGCCTAACCATTTTTTTTTACATTGACTCAGGAAAGGGCAAACAAACATTATTTTAAGATATCCTTTGCGTTACCCCTTTTTATGCGCCCGGATCGATAGATCCAGGGCGTATATTGTTTTTGTCCTGTCTGTTTGTCTGTTTGTTGTCAACTTTAACCTTCGCCATAACTTTTGAACCATAAGAGATAGAGACTTCATATTTAGTATGCATACTCTACTAATAAAGTTCTTTCAAATGACATCAAAGTCAATAACCATGTGACCTTGAATATGACCTAAATGCTAAAAATAGTTTTTTCCCACTGTTTGCCATAACTTTTGAACTATAGGAAATAGGGACTTCATATTTGGTATGCATACTCCTCGAATTGACTTCTTTCAAACGACACCAAGGTCAATGACTTGTGACCTTGAATGTGACCTAAATGCTAAAAATAGTTTTTTTAAAAAAAAGTACACTTGCAGCTATTAAGCTGATTTTTGTCATGTAAGTGTATCTTGATGATCTATAGATAAGTTTGCATTTCGTAACAGTTCAATGATTTTTGACAAATTTACCACGGCACTTGCACCTTTTTAGAATTTTCAGCATTTTTTCTTAACACTTGCAGATATTGAGCTGATTTTTGGTATGTGACTTGACCATAATGTGTTTAAGTTCAAGTTTGAATTTTGGTCAGCATCAAGGACTTTTGTTGGAATTGTAGCATTTTTAATTTTTAGTGGGAACCAGATAGTTAGAATAATCTGTGTCTCGGGACAAGCCCTCACCATAGTTAAAATACCACCCATATACTCGCAATGTAGCAAAAAATTGCAGAATCTCTTCGAAACGAAAGTAGTATAAGCCTCCTAGATGGCGAGGTCAACTGAGTGCACTTTTTATGCAAATGAGGTTCAAAATGGGTCAACTGAGTGGAGTGCTAACCCTAACCCTAACCCTAACCCTAACCCCCTAACCCTAGCCCTAACCCTAGCCCTAACCCTAGCCCTAACTAACCCTAACTAACCCTAACCCCTAACCCTAACCCTAACCCTAATCCTAACCCTAACTCTAACCCTATCCCCCTTAGCCCTAACTAACCCTAACCCTAACTAATCCTAACCCCTAACTAACCCTAACCCTAACCCTAACCCCAACCTAACCCTAACCCCCTAACTAACCCTAACCTATTCCCCTTAAATACTGGAGTTGTTTACATTGGTACGTAGGTACTACGTTTTTTGTTTATGCTGACTATACAGGTAAATACTTGGCAGCGAGCCAAGTTTGTTTAGAGCCGTGTGCAAAAAAAAAAAATATGCTGACTACACAGGTAAATACTTGGCAGCGATTCAAGTTTTGTTTAGGGCCGTGTGCAAAAAAAAAAAAAAAAAAAACTTACCTATGCATTGTGACGTCATTCACTGTATAAATACAATGTGATTATGACGTCACACTTTTTCATTTACAGTCTAGACAGCCTAGTCTAGCCAGCCTAACCGGTTTGAACTGATTTTTTTTTTACTGAAAGACAATAACTAACAACACACAATACATGTGTTATGTCTGTCAAGTTATAACACCAGGTCACTTTTTTAAAAAACTTAGAATTTTTAAACTTTCTTTTAAAAAACTTATAAATTTTTTTTAAAACTTTTTTAAAATAACTTTAATTTTTTTTTTCTTATTAATTTTTTTTTTGGTAAACTCCCCTTATAGTTTTTAAGAAATAAAATAAAAAAAAATCATGTAATACTACATCAGTGTTGACTTCATCTTTTATACAGTCGGGTTCGGGGTTTCGGGCGGCCATGGCGAATTTTCGGCAGGATTTTACCCCAGTGAAAAAGGCTTGTAATCCACAGTGTAGGTCGTTTAAAGTTGTTTCACATTGTTTATGATTGTGATTATGTTATCGCTCACCTATATGTTTAATGTCAGCTATGCTAAATAATCCATTTCTGTGTAATTTGAGAGAATGTTTTGACATGTGGTTAAAGTATGGCGTGCTATTCATGTTATCATTTAAAGTCGATCCTAAATAAATCTGTCTTAAAAAAAAAAAAGGTTAATTATGTATCACTGAATTGTATGATTTTTTTCAGGATCAGCTGAGATGTTTTTCACTGGATTATTTAATTGATAGACTTATTGGGCATATATTTGGATATCTCTGGTAAGTTTGTCTTTGTTTTGTTTACATTTATGAAGGTCATCTTTGCATTTAATCATAATTATGTAAAGTTCTGTTTTGAATGTCAATACTGTATTTATCCTCATTTCCTCATTTCATGTGATTTACACTTGTACATGTATAACCTGCATGTAACTCAGAGTGTATTTAATATTTCTATGATGGGTCATTCTATGATTGAATTTAAATCAGAAAAATGTTCTCTAAATTTTGGTAAAATACATGGTATCTTTTACATTTCTGTCCCTTTTGACTGTAAATTATTGCTTTACTTACATTGTAAAATGAGGTTAATTGTGTATCACTGAATTGTATGATTTTTTTCAGGATCAGCTGAGATGTTTTTCACTGGATTATTTAATGGATAGACTTATTGGGCATATATTTGGATATCTCTGGTAAGTTTGTCTTTGTTTTGTTTACATTTATGAAGGTCATCTTTGCATTTAATCATAATTATGTAAAGTTCTGTTTTGAATGTCAATACTGTATTTATCCTCATTTCATGTGATTTACAGTTGTATAACCTGCATGTAACTCAGAGTGTATTTAATATTTCTATGATGGGTCATTCTATGATTGAATTTAAATCAGAAAAATGTTCTCTAAATTTTGGTAAAATACATGGTATCTTTTACATTTCTGTCCCTTTTGACTGTAAATTATTGCTTTACTTACATTGTAAAATGAGGTTAATTGTGTATCACTGAATTGTATGATTTTTTTCAGGATCAGCTGAGATGTTATTTCACTGGATTATTTAATGGATAGACTTATTGGGCATATAGTTTGATATCTCTGGTAAGTTTGTCTTGTTTTTTAAATTGTTTACATTTTCCTATGAAGGTCATCTTTGCATTTAAGCATGATTATATGGTTTAATTTAATTACTGTGTAATACTTATGTGATCTGTTGTCTCTAACTTACATTCATATAAGCACACCCTTATTTAACCTAAAATATATTAACACACAATTAAGGGATCTTCAGAATATTAATAAGTCCTTTTGTATAAATGATGATATAATTTCATAATACATTATGTATGTTACCCATGGAATTAAGAATTACTAAATGGTGATCAAAGAGATATTAATTAGGAATCTAATAAGAGAAAAGGAGGAATTTACAAAAGATTAATCCTAATAGTCATTTACTTTTTGTTTTGATTCTAATTATGTGTGATATATGGCATACATATATTTTCATTTTCACTTTTGTTTCTTAGTAATGAGCTTTTCAAAAAATTAAGGACTACATGTTGTACTGTGATGATGCTAAAAAAAAAGGTGTATTTTTCTGTATGCAGTACTGACAGATATTAAACAAAATTGAATCTGCTGTTAATCTGCTGTTAATAAAAAATCTTTTAGTGTCTAAATAATTAATTTGATAATCATTTTATTTGTGATATCAATACAGTAATTCTGCTTTTTTATTATCTAAAGATAACATGATGAACTTTTCTCATCTGGAGTTAATGTTAAAAACAATTTGTTTTGAGATTAACAAACATTTTCATGAACTTTTTTGGCATTGTACATGTTTGTTCAATTTTTAAACATGCATTGTTTCACACAGTACTCTGTCATATTAACAAAATGGTTTTATTTTCTATACAGTCCTCAACCTGGAAGATATGTATTGTTCCTAACCATCTATAATCTATTCTCTATGAAGTTCAGACTGTCTGCTCTTCCTTTGGAAATACACAGTTATAGTCAACCAACATAGAAACACACAAACTTGAAGGTAAAGTTTCAATGAGATACAATTGTAATTTTTTTTAATTTATTTATTTTACATATGCATGTTTATAATTTTGAATTGATATGTAAATGATATATTTAAATAAAAAGGGCTTGGTGGTCATGATCATGTTAAGACTATATTGATCTCCTTTAGAAGAAGAAGAAGAGCTCCATTTCAATATATATACAAAAATGCATGATCAAATTTTGAAACTAAAATGTATGAAAGTTTTCTTTGCCAAATGATAGTTAACAGCTGAAGATAGCATATCTATAGAATAAGTTAAATATGGCTAATTTGTAAACCCCCCCCCCCCAGCTTCCTTAATATCATAGTTGGTAAAGATAGCAAGATCTACTAACCAAGATCTTCTTATGAGTGCATGGGACTGTTGTAAACCTTCTCCTGTTTATAAAAAATATACCTTGGAGCATGACACTTTATTCTGTTGTGAGATGTGTATTGTTTTATTATGTATATAATTAGTAACATTAAGTTTCTTGAACATTCCAGAGTGGTCAACATGTTTGGTCATTTTATCTAGAACATTCTTAAATTTTGTGTATGTCCAGATTGTTCCAGTAATATCATGTTTTAACATTTTCTAGAATATTCTAGATTTATAATACTGTATAAATACCCTGTCAATTCAATGCATAGAGATACAATAATTGTGAATACTTTGTCGTATAAGCACTATTGAGATATAACTGGGATATATTTTCATTGGGACATTGTGTGCAGCAACGGACACTCTGATGTATGTATTCTTAGATTCTTGCTAAGTTTGTACTTTATGTTTCATATACTTATTATATATATTACTGTAAATAAATTATTGTTAAGTTTAAATTGTGTTATTGATCTTTGCTGGCATTTCGGGTAATTCTGACCCATAACAGAATTGGGGGCTCGTCCGGGATAAAGAATTTTTGCACTTTTGCAGTTTATTGTCATAATTTTGCTCATTAATTTTTTGTTAAATTAAATTATAAGCCAGCAGAAATCAACATGGTGTTTTCGGTCACAGACTTTCTTAGTTCACCAAGTGTTCAGGTTTTTGATACGTTAAAAAAGGATGACTTGATCGCATTAGGTTTGCATTTTGGGTTAGATGTTAAATCCTCTCAGAGAAAGCAAGACATTAGAATTAAGGTTGCAAACAAACTAGTAGAAGAAAACATCTTTGAAAAATACGATCTTCCAGAATATACAGTTAAATCAGAGTTAGGCTCTTACAAAATGGCAGAATATCAGTTTCAATTAGAGTTAGAGAAAATGCGATTAGAAAGAGAAAAATTAGAAAGAGAAGATCGAGAAAAAGAAAGAGAAGAGCGAGAAAGAGAAAGAGAAGAACGAGAGCGTGAACGAAAATTTGAATTAGACAAATTAGCAGCAGAAAGAGAAGAGCGTGCAATGAACTTTGAATTAGAGAAATTAAAATTACAAAACCAACCAGAACCATCAGTTGTCAAAACTGAATTTGACGCAGCAAAAAATATCAGATTAGTTCCAAAATTTCAAGAAAAATCTGTAGACAAATATTTTCCCCAATTTGAAAAGGTCGCAGAGAATCTTAAATGGCCACGAAATGTTTGGTCAACAATGTTACAAAGTGTACTGGCTGGAAAAGCGGCTGAGGTATACTCTGCACTAGGGGTAGTTGAGAGTTCAGACTATGAGAAGGTCAAAGCAGCAATATTAAAAGCATATGAATTAGTACTTGAAGCGTATAGACAAAAGTTCAGAAAATATAGAAAGTTTGATAATCAAACATTTGTTGAATTTTCACTAGAGAAAGAAGATTTATTCGATCACTGGTTTAGATCCAAGAAACTTGATAAAACTTTTGCTAATTTGCGCCAAGTCATCCTGGTAGAAGAGTTTAAGGAGTGTGTTCCTCAAGATTTGAAAACACATTTAGAAGATAAGAATGTGAAAACTCTTGAAGAGGCAGCAGTCATATCTGATACTTATGCTCTGTCTCATAAAAAGAATTTTGTATCAAGATCTCAGACTAGCAGTAATTCTACCAATTCAGACACATATAAAAAGAGTGGTTCAGGGTCTCAGTCTTTCACAAGTTCCCAGTCTCCATCCCAAGGTGGTTTTAAGTCCGGTCCAGGACGTTTTGAAGGATCTTCTGGAATAGGGTCGCTTCCTACTTGTAGTTATTGTAAGAAAAAGGGTCATCTGATCAGTGAATGCTTTAAACTTAAGAGAAAAAATGATTTTGATAAAACTCAACCACATGCTTGTGCGGCAGTTAGAGGTGATAGAGAAGCCTTAGTTTCGATTTGTTCTGACACTCCTGATGTCCAGGGTTCACAGTCCAGTTCTATGGATTCTATGGAGGATTATAAGCCCTTTATGTCTCAGGGATTTGTCTCACTCGGTGACTCTAGCGAAATAAAACCTGTCCAGATTTTGAGAGATACTGGTGCTGCACAGACGTTATTGTTAGAGGGCGTGCTTCCTTTGTCTGAGCAGACTTCCACTGGTGGGTCAGTTTTATTACAGGGTGTGGAGCTAGGCGTCATTGATGTTCCCCTGCATAGAATTAGTTTGAAGTCAGATTTAGTTACTGGACCTGTTATCGTAGGTGTTCGACCTACTCTTCCCGTTCCAGGCATTTCTTTGTTGTTAGGCAACGATTTAGCTGGTGGGAAAGTTGTACCAGATCCTATAGTTTGTGAGAAGATCAATCCAGATGTCATGTGCGATGATGAAGATGATGACATTTATCCAGCCTGTGCTGTTACTAGAGCGATGGCCAGAAGACGAGAAATGGAGGCAGACCATACTCAAGCCTTTGACGAGACGAATTCCTCTGTTGATATTGATTTGAATGACACTTTCTTATCTGACCTTGATGGCACTCAAACCAGCATGGAACCACACAATATCAAGAAGCAAGAGAAGAAAGAATTTTTACCAAAATTTGGTGGTGAGGATGATGAGTTGCATCCACTAGTTAGCCAAGGCAAGGACATCCTCAGCCGAGAACGTTTACTCTCTGAACAACATAAAGACCCAGATATCATTCAACTTAGTAAGAGGGCACTTCCACCAGAAGAGGCTATTAAAGTTGGAGAATGCTTCTATATGAAAGATGGCATCCTTATGCGAAAATGGCGACCACCTGACGCTTCTCCAGATGAAGTGTGGCGTGTTGTTCACCAGATAGTGGTCCCAGCTGCTTATCATCGAGATGTCATGAGTTTAGCCCACGATACACCTATGGCTGGTCATTTAGGTATCAATAAGACTTATAATAGGATTTTGAGTCATTTTTATTGGCCTAAGCTAAGAAAGGATGTTTCGAAGTTTTGCAAGTCATGCCATGTCTGTCAGATGGTAGGTAAACCAAATCAGAAGATACCATCTGCTCCTCTCCAACCCATTCCAGCTTTTGAAGAACCGTTTAGTCGAGTGTTGGTGGATTGTGTAGGACCTTTGCCTAGGACCAGAACTGGAAACCAGTATTTACTTACCATTATGTGTACATCCACTCGGTTTCCTGAAGCCATACCTCTACGGAATATAAAGGCAAAGAGCATAGTTAAGGCCCTAACCAAGTTTTTCAGTTTTGTAGGAGCACCCAAGGCAATTCAGTCGGATCAAGGCTCAAATTTTATGTCGGGGTTGTTCCAGCAAGTCATGCATGAGTTGGGTATAAGGCAATATAGATCAACTGCTTATCATCCTGAGTCCCAGGGAGCGCTAGAACGTTTTCATCAAACCTTAAAAACAATGCTGAAGACCTATTGTTACCAGTATGAAAAAGACTGGGACGAAGGGGTTCATCTTGTGCTATTTGCTGCACGAGAAGCAGTCCAGGAGTCTCTTGGGTTCAGTCCTTTTGAATTGGTGTTCGGTCATACAGTTAGAGGTCCTTTGAAATTGCTGAAGGAAAAGTGGCTGACTGAGACTAGTGATCTTAATCTTTTAGATTATGTGTCTGATTTCAAAGAAAAACTTTACAATGCTTGTAAATTAGCACAAGAAAATTTGAAGAGTTCTCAGTTGAAAATGAAAATGTGGTATGACAAAGATGCTAGAAATAGGGTGTTTAAGCCAGGTGATAAGGTTCTTGTATTTTTACCTATTCCTGGTCATCCTTTACAGGCCAGATTTTATGGCCCTTATGAAATTGAAAGCAAGATTAGTGATGTAAACTATGTAGTTAAGACACCAGGTCGACGTAAAGAGAAACGGGTTTGTCACATTAACATGTTAAAAGAGTATTTTGAAAGGTGTGACCGAAATTCTGTAAAACCAGTTTCCACTTTAGCCAATGCTAAGACTGTTCAAAATTGTATTGAAAGTGATACGAGTGTAGAAATGAATGAGAAAGATTGTAATCAGAGTGTTCGTTTGAAAAACTCAGAAATTTTGGCTGATTTTGATGCCAAACTTGGACATTTGAACATTCATCAAAAAGAACAAGTTAAAAACTTGATGAATGAGTATCATCAAATCTTTTCGGATGTTCCAAAGAAAACTAATGCAGCTTGTCATGATGTCATAGTGAGTGACGTTCTGCCTATCAAACAACATCCGTACCGTCTGAATCCAATAAAATTGCAGTACCTAAGAAGGGAAGTGCAGTACATGTTGGACAATGACATTGTTGAACCTAGTAAAAGTGATTGGAGCTCACCATGTATTCTTGTACCAAAACAAGACGGTTCGTACCGATTATGTACAGACTTTAGAAAGGTGAATTCTGTTACCAAAACTGATTCATACCCAATACCTAGAATCGATGACTGTATTGACAACATTGGAAACGCCAAATTTGTCAGTAAATTTGACCTGTTGAAAGGCTACTGGCAAGTGCCGTTAACAGAAAGAGCAAAAGAAATATCTGCTTTTGCTACACCAGATGGACTTTACCAGTATAAAGTAATGCCTTTTGGCATGAAAAACGCACCGGCAACATTCCAAAGGATGATTCACTCCCTTCTTCAAGACCTTGAGGGATGCGAGGCCTACATTGATGATGTCGTCATATACAGCAACACATGGGACGAACATCTCCGAATCATGCGTGCTTTATTTGACATTTTAGCTAAAGCAAACTTAACTGTGAATCTTAAGAAGAGCGAATTTTGTCATGCTTATGTAGAGTATTTAGGTCATAAAGTAGGTCAAGGTTATGTTACACCCATAATGGCTAAAGTGGAAGCTATTGCAAAGTTCCCGATTCCTACAAACAAGAAAGAATTAATGAGGTTTTTGGGCATGGCTGGGTTTTACAGAAAATTTTGTCCAAATTTTTCCTCAGTTGTTAGTCCACTTACAAATCTTTTACAAAAGAGGGTTAACTTTGAATGGACAAAGGACTGTGAAAAAATCCTTCCATAAAATCAAATCTGTCCTTATGAGCAACCCAGTTCTGTCAACTCCAGATTTTTCTAAGCAATTTAAGCTTACTGTTGATGCTAGTGATGTTGGAATCGGGGCAGCTTTGTTTCAAGAACATAGTGATAATGTAGATAGAGTTGTTTCTTATTTTTCAAAGAAACTTACAAAATGTCAACAAAACTATTCCACCATTGAAAAGGAATGCCTTGCTTTGTTGTTAGCTTTACAGCATTTTGATGTTTATTTGAATGTTACTTTGCATCCAATTCTTGTATATACGGATCACAACCCCCTGACATTTTTGCATAAATTGTCAAACAAGAATCAAAGACTGACTAGATGGAGTTTGTTGTTACAAGAATACAACATAACAATTAAGCATATCAAAGGCAAAGACAATGTTATTGCAGACGCTTTGTCAAGAGTATCGTAAACATACTAGATTTTGTATTAATGTACAAAACTTTTATTTTAATAATATAAGTTTTCATTGACATTCAAACTTTTTTAAGGGGGGAGGTGTTGTGAGATGTGTATTGTTTTATTATGTATATAATTAGTAACATTAAGTTTCTTGAACATTCCAGAGTGGTCAACATGTTTGGTCATTTTATCTAGAACATTCTTAAATTTTGTGTATGTCCAGATTGTTCCAGTAATATCATGTTTTAACATTTTCTAGAATATTCTAGATTTATAATACTGTATAAATACCCTGTCAATTCAATGCATAGATATACAATAATTGTGAATACTTTGTCGTATAAGCACTATTGAGATATAACTGGGATATATTTTCATTGGGACATTGTGTGCAGCAACGGACACTCTGATGTATGTATTCTTAGATTCTTGCTAAGTTTGTACTTTATGTTTCATATACCTATTATATATTACTGTAAATAAATTATTGTTAAGTTTAAATTGTGTTATTAATCTTTGCTGGCATTTCGGGTAATTCTGACCCATAACAATTCCAAGAGTTCAGTTTGGACTTCCTCCATTAATCCTTGTATCTTCTCCAATGGTTTTGTGGGCTAAAATTCATGTGTCTTTAACAACATTTTTTTCTGACAACTGTTTTCTCTTATTATCTATAAACTTGACTTCTTCTCTAGTCAAAGGTTTTTCAGGGTAATCCAAGTAATTCTTACCCTCTTTTGGTAATAAATGGTTAATATATTCTTCATTGGCTTCTTCTGCAATCAAGGGTCTTTCTATGTAATCTCTGACATCATTAGGATCACCCTTTTCTGGACATATTTGGTTATATTCTTCTTAAGAAATGTTCTCAATAGTGCCATCTTTTTTTTATTTTAACTGGTATAACTCTGTCTACATCTTTCTCTGAAAGAATTCTCTCTCCATACTGAATTTTACTCATTCCTTTACTCTTTTCTTTACTAGAGGTGTTACCCATGGTTAATATGAAAAGTAAAAATCTTATGTTACAACTTGTATTTATACCCTTTTTTGTCTATATTTAGAATTCCATCAAGCTTATATTACATTACAATTTTTCTTTTTCATCTAAGACATCATTTTTTTTTTTTTCAGGATTCTCTTGTGAGGGCTTATGGAAATGATCTATGTCTACTCTTAGAATGGTGAAAGACTATCAGATTATGCAAAGACTAACAGTATATCCTCTCTTGGAACACTGAAACAAGAAAACCAAACTTAAGAGGATGGAGGATTTAAGAAGCACATAGATAAATATGATTTCCATCTAATTTAACCAGTACGATCATAGACTGTGGTTTACAGGATGACAAAGAAAGGACCCAGGATTGTATCTTTTTTTTACTGTCAGACACTGACTATGGATAAAGTGTAATCATTTATCAAACTGAGATCTAGTCAAATCAAGTATTGAAAATATGATTTTCTGATAGCATGAGCTCTTTAAAACCTAATTCTCACTGACCTCAAAGTATCTGAATGTGACTTTTATTTTTACCAATTCATATTGAAGACTTTTGTTATGTATGAGAAGTATACATTTAAACCTTTTATTTTTCATTTTATTCT